TTGCTTTGCAGAGCACCCAACCGGCTGGCTGAGAGGCAGGAGCTCGCCTTGGGACTGAGCCAGGGCGGCCGGACTGTGGCGTGAATGGGCCTGCAGCTTTGGAAACTCCCTGTGAGGCAACCGGGAAACCTGCACTGGGTGACTCGGGGGAAGGCAGCCTCCAAGCCTGGGCCCAGACGAGACCCCTGCGCCTTCCCCGTGGTTGCAGGGTTGTGCTGTAATGATGGACCACGGGGCAGCTGCGGATGGTGGCACCCCTGTGCCCAATGCTCTGCCAGCAGGAGAGCAGAGAGCGGTGGCTCCCAGGGGCCTGGATCCTGGGAGATGGGTGGGGCTGTACAGTAGAGGCGAGAGGACCAGAGAAGAAACGATGGATGCGCTGGGGTGGGAGCTGCTGAACAGCATCCCCAGCACTGGCTTGTCCCAGGGGGAGACGGAGGAGTCCCGGGGCCTCCACCGGACATTGCTGCTGCTACTCCGGCTCTCCCAGAGCTGCCCCTTTGGAGAGACGCAGGAGAAGTGCTCCCAGCTGCTGCAGGCTCTCCAGGTAAGCTGGCCGGGCAGCTCTGGGCACCAGCTGAGTTGCAAGCACACGTCAGCAGCATGATTGCAGCTCTTACGAACATCACTGCACACATACAGCCCCTGGTTCTACTCCTGGCATGGCCGCTACGCTGCTGGGTGTCCTTAGGCAAGTCGCTTCCTCGGTTTCCCCTCCTATACATGGCCGGCCGTGTCTGTGCAGCAGAGCCTGTCTCTCCCCAGGGGTCTGCAGCTCGTGGCTCAGTGGAGCCCAGCCCCGGGTCGGGTGCCTGCACTGATGTCAGCAGTCACAACAGCTGTTGTGCTGCAGCGGGATGGTTTTGTGCAGTCCTTTGTACCAGGAAAACACCTGGTGTCCTGCTGGAACCGGGCATCCCTTCCTGGCTCACAGCTCCTGTACCCCAGGGCAGCCCCCATACCCCGAGATCACAGCTTGCACAGCCCTGGGACCAGCCCCAAAGGGGGGTGCAGCAGGGGCTCCCTTGGCTTGTGCTGGTTGCAGGGGAGCTGGGATCCTTTCTCTCCCTCCTTTTTCCATTGCACATGGTCTTTGCACCGCGGGAAGCTCAAGATGTGGTGTTGCTTTAGGCTTTCTCAGGGAAGATGGCCCCTCCCTGCTCCCCCAGCATAGGCACTGGGCTCAGTCCAGCCCAGCATCAGCACACAGCCAGGGCACAGGGGAGCGGGGAGAGCTGGCGTTAGCTGAGGACACGGGACCAAACTTCCTGCTGGGCTGAGACCTTGGCATGGGCCCGGTGGTGTAGGGCTGTCTCCTCCCGCACAGCTGCTGACCTCTGCATGCCTCCACTTTTCTGCTTGGGAAGATGAAGGGCTGATTCACCCCTGAGGCTCCAGTTGGTCTGTCCTCTGGCCGGTGGCTGCCTAAATGTCTGTGGGAGGTGGTGGAGAAATCTGCTGCCCTGGTGTCAGATGCTCTTTGCCCTCCCTGGCTTTGTACTGTATCCCCCCATGGGGATGCTCCCTGCAGCTGGGAGGATAGAGCCTGCTGCCTCTCCCAGAGCGCTGGTGAGATCAGAGCTGGGTGCCGTGTGCTGGGTACGGGATGCCCTTTGGTCCCTGCATCACCAGGTTGCTCTGCAGAGCAGGTGCAGCGGCTGCTCCAGTGCTAGCTAGCAGCAAGGGGCAGGCAACAGGGGGGAAAAAAGAAACCCTCTGATGCGTCAGTCCCTTCAAGCTGGCTCATAGGCATGATGCTCAGCAGCCGGTCCCAGTCACAGCTCTCCATGACCTTGCTCAGAAACCTCCTCCCCCTGCTCCCCCCAGGTAGCAGCATCCTTGCGGCTGAATCCCGGTGAGACACAACAGGCAAGTGACTAGAGAAAGGAGCCCTCCAGGGTGCTTTCCCCTGCCCAGGGAGGAGTTACTGTACATTGCACAGCCAGTGTGAGCGTTTCGTGCTACATCCGCCGTGCTTGGGTTGTGACGGCCCTTGGGGTTTGTATCTGTCCAACTACATTAGTAAAAGATGGAGGCAGCTAAATATCAGCATCGCTTATCCCCATCCCAGACAGTACATGCTGTACTGGTTTAACTGGGGAGCTTGTAGTAGTTTTAAGTAATCATCCTATTACACACTTTAAAACTTTAATAGCACGGGGGTTGCTTTGAAGCAAGCCCCCGACCTCTTCTGTAAGAGAAGCCAGAAAATGTAACTCCATTCCCTCTGTGTGGCTCAGCCACGTGGATTTGGCTGAAGTGCCTTCCAGAAAGGCCTCCAGTCTGGATGTCTTGAGCAGTACAGAACACACCACTTTTATTATAATAGTGAATTGCTGCTGTTATTTAAACAAAAAAACCCCAATCCGTGCCGTTGTTTGCAGTGTAACGTTGGCAGGCAGATCAGATTCCAGGGAGCTCAGACACGAGTTGTGGCAAGCTTTTTCTGGACAGAGGCACGGCTGGTTTTCAAGCTGACAGTGTGGCTTGAATATCTGCGGGGCATTTTGCTGGGAGAAGCAGTGTGATTTCAAGAGGAATCCGTTGTGGGTGGTTTTAAGATGGAGCCGGCTCTGTTTATCCAGCAGGAGCTGGACTGGAGAGCCCTCCAACGTCCCTCCGAGCCCCATTGCCCGTGTTCCTCCTGGGGCACTGCACATCTGTGAAGGAGGCCTCGCAGCCCACGCGGCTCTGTGCCAGCCAGGATTCGCTCTTCTATTGCTCGTCAGTCAAGCGACTTGCCCCCGCGCGTTGGTAGCAGAGTCACTAGGCCATGCTGTAACCACTAGGCCATGCATCTTTCCTCACGCTGCCGTTGGCTGGACTGGGAGGTCACTGAGGGGGGTGGGAGGGCAGGATGGGGGTCAGGGGGTCTGGGCTGCTGGCCATGAGGGATGGTGTGACTTGGGGTAGTGTCACGGGGCAGCTTGGAGGAGAGAGAGGCTTTGGGAGCCGAGGGAAAAAGTGCTTCCCCCCACCCCGCAACAGCCCTGGAGGCCCCGGGGGCTGGGCGGAGGTAATCGGAGAGGCCGGCTCTCGGAGAAGATGAGCAGCTCGGGGAACAGGCTTCAGCCTGCCCTGCTGCCACTAGCTCTGGGCTTTGTCCGGTCTCCACGTAGGCACGAGACCCCCGCACTCGGCCCAGGCGCTAATTACTGCAGCCTCCGAGCCCCAGCTGCCGCTCAAGCTGTCGCTCCCGGGCTGGTCACACTAGCCCAGTGAGGCATTTGTCCCCTAATCTGTGACCCTGTGCGGGGGCAGATAAGTCCCAGAGAAGCTGCCCCAGCCTCCTGCCTTGGGGAGGGGTGGGGAGAGTTTGAGTGGGAGCTAACGATGGGCCTTCCTCCCGCTTGGAGGCTGGCTGGGGGTGTAGGAGGTGCTGTGTGAGGTGTCCAGGGGGTGCTGGAGGGGCTCGGCAGACCTGAAGTGCCTCTGGATTCACACTGGTGCAAGCAGGGTTGGGTCTCCCCTGCCTTGTGCCTCACAGGGACATCTACACTCGTGGAAGAATGAGTCTGCAATGGGATTTGGAAGTGTCTGAAGCCCCAGGCTGGGGTGGAGGATATGTGTTGGTAGCAGGGCCACACAGAGTTCTTGAATGATTCAGGTGGATTTGAACCTGATCTGGTTAGTTTGACCTGGGACAAGTGCACAAAAATTTCTTAAAAAAAGAGTTTGCAAGGGTTTTGTTGCTGGGAACAAGTGCACTGATGGCACTTCGTATCTCCTGCCCGGGGCACAGATGACAACGGGGTGGGCGTTAGTGCTTTGCCCAAGAGCCTTGTGTACTGGAGGATGGAGGGGATGCCGAGTTAGTCTTTGAGGTCCAGTCTTGTTCCCAGGGGTGGGGGTGAGCTCACAGGTCCTGCCGGGGACTGGTGCAAAGTGGGGGGCAGGAGCTGCTTCCAGAATCGAATGCTAAGCCGGTGGGGGAGCGCGCATCCATGGTCTGTGCTGCTGGTGTGTGATAAGACCAGCCAAGCTTTCCCCAGTGGCTGGCGGAATTTGTGTCTTTCCCCCGAATCATGTGCAATAAAGAAGCGAGCAAGGTGAAACGGTGCTTCTGCAGTTCGGATGCATGAGGGCAGGACAGGGCTCTTCTTGCACAGGAGTCGGTCTAGCCACAACCGTGCGCGCCCTGTGCTGTGTGTGGGGGGCTCAATCTGCCCCAGAGCTAATGGAGGGGGGGATCACTCCCTTGGCCTCAAGCCCCAGGCTTTTTCTTTTCTCTTTGTTGCGCTCCATGCAAGCGTGAGTTGGGCCTCCGCCAACCACGTGCAGCCGTCTCCCTCCCTCTGCCTGTCCATTGGCTGCCGGGGAAGCAGGGCTCAGCGAAGGTGCAAAGCCGTTTGCACTTAATTGGCAATTCTGGATTAGAGCCGGAGGAGGCTGTTGCCAGGCAAAACCCGAGCCTGTTTGTGCAGCAACTTCTGCTCGCTGGACTTTGCCGTGTGGGGCTGGTGCGGCTGGAGCAGATTGTTATCGGCGCTGCTGTCTGGGGCTCCCTTTTTTTTAATTGAGACGAGCGTTTGTTATTCAAATCCACAGGGCTGGTGGTCAGTGGGGGATGCAGCGGGGTAGCGGAGAGCAGAATTTGGCGCTGGGCTGTCCCATTGATTTTTTCCAATGAAGCGGTGGCCCAAGTTTGTCTCTGGGGGAAGTGCAGCTGCTGTCTGGAAGCACTTCCAGAAATCCCTGCGCTAACTGAGGGATGAGTTGACCATCATCACCCAGGGCTAAAGGATCATGGTCAGGTGACCTCTAGTAGAAGGGTCCCTGCCTGTGGGGTTGGCACTGCTGTTGGTCCCCAAGCATGATGTTCTGCCCATGGGGGGGGCAGGAATTGGGAAGCTCTTGCTGAATGGAGCTGGGGATGTGGAGGATGCTGTGGGATGTCAACAGTGGAGGAGGACCCAACGCTGGAGAAGCAGGAGCAGCTGCCGGCTGGTGTGGAAGTGGCATCCCAGAGCCCTGTTGTGTAGGACCCCGGTGCGGGTCGGGGCTGAGGCAGAGCCCTGGGAAGGGGACAGAGGGGCTGCAGGACAGGACGGGGAGGTGCCAGCAGAGCCAGGCGTGTGGTAGTGTTTTGGTCGCAGTCCTTCTCAAGGTCTGCTGGGAACATCGCGGTCCAGCCCATTCAAACACACGCGGCCCTGCCTCAAGCAGCTGTGACGTCCTTGCGTGTCTCTCATCTGGCATCCCGGGTCCTGCGCTCTGTAATTCGAGGAGGAATAAACAAGCTCCGTTCCGGAGACCATGGAGCAGAGAGACCCATCCAAATGCCAGATGTCCTGCCCTGGAAAACCTCCCCGCGTGGGTCACCTGGGAGCAGGGGCAAGTTCAGAAATGCGGTTAATACGGGCTTGGGGAAACACTGAGGCCCTGTCCGCTAAGGAGGCTTCAGAAGATTTGCTGCTAGTCTGAGGCCAGAGACCTCACGTGGGCTAGGGGCAACGCGCTCTGCCCGGCTAGGCTCAGTCTTGCCTCTTGTGTGCATCCGAACAGTGAAGCACCCTTCTCTCTGTGCCCTGGGGAGCAAATCTGAGC